ATTTTTTTTTTTTTAATGCTACACATATCACTACACAGGATTATTGAACAGACATTTATTTATTGGAAAATTAGGTTCTTAAACAGATTAAGCAAAGCAAGAGACTGAAAGCTTAATTCCTGATCACTCTCTCCAACATATTTTCCCCCTTCAATTTGTTGTCTGGAGATAAAAAATCTTAATTCGAAGGGTTTTGCTAATTACAATGTCATGACGCGACATTTATCTTGGTCAAGTCATTGGGTTTGATTTGACATTCATAGATTCATAATTTAGTTGGGTCAATTTATTGGTTTATTGGTTACCTATGATTCTTTTCTTTTCTAAAAGTCATTTTTATTAAATCTATTGGGTACTAATGTTTAAAGGAAATGTTACAATTCCGTTATGCAATCATTCCATCGGGATTTGTAACCGTTAGATCATCATGTAACCGTCGTTAATAGTTGATCTAACGGTTACCAGTTCCGACGTAATGGTTTCGTAACGGGACTGTAAAATCTCCCAATGTTTAACAGAGAATAAATTCTATCCAAAATTTATTAATTTTTATTTGATACCCCAAATTTGATTTATAATCAATTCGTTTCCGTGAGTTTCTTATGATAACGTTTTGGACTTTTTCGTTAGTGAAACGACGATTAATAAAAAAAATTATATCTATTGAACTTTGTCAGATTTATAAGCGGGGCAAGAGAGTGCGACACTTATGAGTCCTTCATAGCCAACATGTCTTCTCACTTGTGAGTCATTCATAAGCCCAAACTCAAACCAGACTGGGTAAAGAGTAAGAACCCAAGCCCAGAGCTGGCCGGGTAGAGATATAGACCCAGACCGGAGTTGATCTGACTCTGATATCATCCCACGCAGGTGAGACGCACCATAAGAGGATATGTCTAAGTGTACCATAGTAAGGTTCCATCCCAAAATCAATTAGTGATGAGAGGATTATCCACTGGGTATATTAACTAGGCCTATTACCCTATAGAATCTGGAACAACTCACAAGTAATATTCCAACAAATTTAAAAAATATATATATTTTTTAAAAAGTCTTATTTATAAGAATTAAAATAACTCCTCGATTGCTGATGCGCATGCAGAAACATGACCGAGCTATATGTACTTATGTAGAGATCGTCCGAAAGGCATCACTTT